TCATTTCTTCTTTAAATGTTTGGTAGAATTCACCAGTGAAACCAGCTGTGCCTAAAGTTTTCGTATTGAACAGAATCTTTATAACAAATGGAATTTTAAAAAGTATACAGGGATTTTTAGGTTACCTGTTTTTTCTTGTATAAGCTTTGGTAGTCTGGGTCTTTCAAGGAATTTGTCCCATGTCTTCTAAGCTTCCAAATTTATTGGGATAAAATTGTTTATGACACTCCGTTATTATTTTTTGGATATCTGTAGAATCTGTAATGATGTCATCTCTCTTCTTTCCTGATATCGACCATATATCTTCCCTCTTTTTTTCCCCCTAATTAATCTGAGTACAAGTTTGTCAATTTTGTTGATTTTTCTTGAACAACTAGCTTTTGGTTTTATTGCTTTCCCTCCCATTTTTTTCTTTCATTGATGCACTCTAATTTTTTACTATTTCTTTCTACTTACTTTGGATTTAACTTGGTTTCTGATTTAATTTTGATGTGGTCAGAGAACGTACTTCGTAGGGCTCGAATCCTTCTGAATTTATTGAGACTCATTTTATGGCCAATGATATGGCCTATCTTGGTAAATGCTCCCTGTGCACTGGGAAAGACGGCATATTCTCCTGTTGTCAGGTAGCGTCTTCTACTGGAGTCCATCAAGTCAAGTTAGTTCGTTGTTTTGCTCCAGTCTCTTACACCCTTACCAATTGCCATGTCCTCGTCCTATCTATCATTGAAAGAGGGATATTGACTCTCCTACTGTAATGTAGATTTGTCTTTCTCTCCTTGTAATGTGCTCAGGTTTTGCTTTGATTTGAAGCTCTGTTATTTGGTGCATAAACATTTAGGATTGTTACATCCTCTTGAAGAAGTGACCCTTTTCTTCCTATGAAATGACCTTCTTTATCCCTGATAATATTCCTTATCCTTAAGTTCACTTCTATAACATTAACATAGCTCTTCCAGCTTTCTTTTGATGAGCGTTAGTTTGGTTTGCACATTTCTATCCTTTCACTTTTAACCTATCTGTGTTTTTATATTCAAAGTGCATTTTTGTTAGGCAGCAAATAGTTGGGTCTCGCTTTGTTAATCTAATCCAACCGTCTCTATCTGTTAATGTGGGTCTTTAGACCACTTATATTTAATGTGATTGTTGACGTGCTTAGATTTAAAATCATCATTTTACAATTTGTTTTCTATTTGTTCCATCTGTTCTTCCTTTGGATTGAGTATTTTTCACGGTATTATTTTGTTTCCTTTGTTGGCTTATTATCTATAGCCATTTTGATTTTTTTCTATTTTTATGGTTCCTTCAGGAGTCCTACTATACATATTTATCTAATTACAGTCTGTCTTCAAACCATATTAGACCACATTGCATGTAGTATAAAGACCTTCTCATGGTATATTTCCTTCTCTCCTCCTCGTCTTTATGCTGCTGTTGTCATAGATTTTACTATTACATGCTATAAACTCCACACTATATAGTTATTAATTTGTCTGACTAGTCAAATTTTAAATAAACTTAATTTTAGAATAGTTTTCGATTTTGAGAAAAATGTCATAGTTAGTACAGAGCTTCCACGTGCTCCACACAGTTTCTTCTGTCGCTAACATCTTGCCTTGTTGTGGTACATGTGTCACAACTACAATTACATTTTTAAAATATCTAAATAATAAGAAAATAATACATATTTACTCATGTAGTTACCATTTTTGTGCTCTTGTTACTTTGAGTAAATCCATATTTTCATTTAGTATCACTTTCCTTCAGTCTGAAGAATTTCCTTTAACATTTCTTGTAGCGCCAGTCTGCTGGAGGTGAATTCTTGTAGGTTTTGTGTATCTAAAAACGTCTTTATTTCACCTTCATTTTGGAAAGACATCTTTGTTGGATACGGAACTCTGGGCTGCACTGTCTTTTCCTTGAGTACTTCAACAATGCTGTTCCACTGCCTTATCCCTTGCATTTTTCTGATAAGAAATTTGCTGCCACTTTTAACTTTTTTCCTCTATGCATAATGTGTCTTTTTTCCTCTGGCAGATTTTAAGATTTTTCTTTAATGCTGATTGTGAGAAATTTGATTGTGGGCTGCCTCAGTGCGGTTTTCTGAGTCATTCTTGTGCTGGGGCTCATTAATATTCTTGGGTCTGTGGGTTTATAAGTGTCCTCAAATTCAGAAAATTTTTGGCCATTATTACTGTTTTAACAAACTTTGAAATTTTAGAAAAGTTTAGATTTACCAAATTATTGCAAACAGGAAGTTCAGAGAGTTCTTATACATCCAATTTCCCCTATTATTAGCATCCTGTGTTCAGTATGGGACATTTGTCACAATTAATGAACCAATCTTGATACAGGATTATTAGCTAAAGTCCATACTACTTTTTTTCATATTTCCTCAGTTTTCCCCTAATGTCCTTTTCTTGTCCAGGATCGTGTCCGGGACACCATATCGCATTTATTGTCGTGTTTCTCCCAGCTCCTCTTGGTGGTGACAGCCTCAGACTTTGCTTTCTTTTGATGACCTTGACAGTCCTGAGGAGTACCGATCAGGTATTTTGTAGAATGTTCCTCATTTGGATTTTGTCTGATGGTTTCTCATGATTAGACTGGGTTCCTGGGTTCTGGGGAGGAGGTCCACAGAGGTACAGTGCCCTTCTCATCACGTCCTGTCAGGATTGCACAGTTTCAGCATGATTTATCAGTGTTGATGTTGACCCTGACCACCCGGCTGAGGTGTGTCGGTCAGGCTTCTCCACTGTGGAGTTATTATTTTTTCTCTCCCTTTCAATGCCATAATCTTTGGAAGGAAGTCACTATATGCAACCTACGCTTAAGGTGTGAGGGTTACTCGCGTCCTTCTTAAAGATGGAGTAGCTACAAAAATTATTTGAAATTCTTCTGCAAGGGAGATTTGTCTATTTCTGCTGTTTGTTTATTCAATCATTTGCTTGTATCTGTTTGGACTAATGGATATTTCTTTTATTTTATTCTTTTTTGATACTATAATTATTTTTTTATTGTGGCGACATTGGTTTATAACATTATATACATTTCAGGTGTACATCATTATATTTTGATTTCTGTATAGATTACATCATATTCACCATCCAAAGGCTAATTACAATCCGTCACCACACGCATGTGCTTAATCACCCCTTTTGCCCCCTTCCCCTCGGGTAACCACCAATCCAATCTCTGTTTCTATGTATTTGTTTGTCGTTGTTTTTATCTTCTATTTATGAGTGAGATTATACAGTATTTGACTTTCTCCCTCTGACTTATTTCACTGAGCACAATACCCTCAAGGTCTATCTATGTTGTCACAAATGGCCAGATTTCATCGTTTCCTGTGGCTGAGTAGTATTCCATTGTGTATATATACCACATCTTCTTGATCCTGGACTAATGGATATTCATTTTATAATTTGGGTTATAATCCCATATTACTTTGTATATTTTCTTGCTCAAATAGTTGCAGCTTTGGCCACTGGGAGCTCTTTCATCTGGCTCCTGTGACCCTCTGACATATCCCCATCAATGTTGGATTCCTTCTTTGGAGCACTTTCTCGCATCACAAGACGCTCCAGGGTCCTCTTATGTATTTCCTGTACCCGTCCTAGAGTCAGTCATTTCTCTAAGGTTCCTTTTATTGGATAATGGTGTTAGAAACCACAATCTGGGTGCTGCAGGTACTCATTGCTACTAGGGTATTATTTTTCTAGGCCGTCTCAGGCTGGCAGAGCAAGGAGATATATGTCTGTGTATGTGTATGTAACCATCTATATCGATCTTAAGTTAAACATGAATTCGTGGTGATTTCTCCAACTCTATCACACACGGATCATCCTAGCCTGCTCTCCCTGCTTCTCTGCAACAGTGTGAAACCTGGCCCCCACCAGTCATCATTCACTCACTTTTGTTGGATTCCAGTGTCCACGTAAGGCAGCATCAAGATTGTGAAACTAACCCCTTGGGAAACAACTTTGTCAACTAGACCACACAGTTTTTGCAAACAGTTCTCATGCCTTCGCCTTACAAATTCCCCTCCTTTCCAAAATTACTGAGATCAGCACCTTCTTCCACAATCCCCTGCACTGAGGCGGTTTCACACATTTGTAATCTATTTAGATTATTTTGTCACCATCTACATTCCCTTCTGAGATCTCCCAACCCGGTAAATTATTTATTTAAAATCTGCATGTGTTAAGGTTAACTCTTCGTGCTGTAAAGTTTTAGGAGTTTTTAGCAAATGCTTAGTGCCTTGTATTCAGTATTGCAATATCATTAATAATAGTTTCACTGTCTTAAAGCTCCTCTGTGCGCCACCTACTCACGCCTCCTTCCCCACTAACCCCCCGGCAACCACTGACCTTTCACTGCCTCCATAGTTTTGCCTTCTCCAGAAGGTCATGTAGTTGACGTCATCCGTATGTGGCCTTTCAGGTTGGCTTCTTTCACTTAGCAATATGCATGTCTTTTCACGGCTTGATAGATTCCTTCTTTTTATCCCTGAATAATATTGCATGGTCTGGGGGAACCTCAGTTTGTCTATCCATCCACCTATTGAAGGACTCCTTAGTTGCTTCCAGACTTTGGTGACTATGAATAAAGCTACTCTAAACATTGGTGTGCAGGTCTTTGTGTGGACGTAAGTTTTCAGATCAGTTGGGTAAATACCTAGAAGTGTGATTACTGGATTATATGGTAAGATTATGTTTAGTTTTGTAAGGAACTGCCAAACTGTCTTCCAAAGTGGTCGTACCTACCATTTTGCGTTTCCACCAGCAATTAACGAGAGCTCCCCTTGCTCCCCATTCTTGCCAGTGGTTGGTACTGTCAGCGTTTTTTGGATTTGTCCATTCCAATAGGTGTGTAGTAGTATCTCATTTTTGTTCTAGTTTTCAATTCCTTAGTAACAAATGACATTGAGCATCTTTTCATATATGTATTTGCCACCTGTATACCTTCTTTGGCGAAGAGTGAGAAATGGTGTTTATATGTTTTTCTTGCTTTTTAGTTGCATTGTTTTGGTGTGGTTGATTCTTGAGAGTTCCTTTGTATATTTCGGAGGCAAGTCCTTTGCCAGATATGAAAATATTTCCTCCCAGTCTATGGCTTGGCTTTTCATTCTCTTGACAGTGTTCTTCACAGAGCAGAAGTTTTTAATTTTAGTGAAGTCTGACTTATCAATTTTTTCCATCATAGATCATGCTATTGGTGTTGTGTTTAAAATTTCATCACCAAACCCAAGCTCCTGTAGATTTTCTCATATGTTTTCTTTAAGAAATTTTATGGTTTTGCATTTAACATTTAGGTCTATAATATGTTTAGAGTTTTTTTTTTTTTAAGGTATAACGTCTGTGTCTAGGTTCGTTTTTTTGCATGTGGACGTCAAATGTTTCAGCACCATTTGTTGAAAAGACTGCTCTTTCTCCATGAATCACCTTTGCCCCCTTGGAAAAGACCAGTTACTACGTATGTGTAGGTCTCTCTCTGTCTCGCTCTTCTGTCCTGTTGATTTGTGTGTGCATTCTTTCACCCGTGCTATGCTGTCTTGATTACTGTGGTCTTACAGGAGGTTTCCAAACCAGGTGGTGTGAGTTCTCCAGCCTCGTTTTTCAGTGTTGTGCTGGCGATTCCTGGCCATTTGCCTCTCCCTAGAAACTTTAGAGTCAGTTTGTTGATGCTTCCTGAAGAGCTGGCTGGGATTTTGGTTGGGAGCGTGTTCAATCTGTATATCAAGTGGGAAAGAATTGATGTCTTAATACTGAGTCTTCAAATCTATGAACACAGAATATTTCTCCATTTAGTTAGCTCTTAAAAATTTTTTTTCATCAGTGTCTGGCAGTGTTCTGTATGTGGGTCTTGTGTATTTGTTAGATTTATACCTAAGTATTTCATTTTAGGGTGTGCTATTGTAAACGAGATTCATTTTTTAACTTCAAATTCCAATTGTTCGTTATTGCTATACAGGAAAGCAGTTGACTTGTGTATATTAAGGTTGTTTTCTATGACCCTGTTATACTTGGTTGTTAGTTCCAGCATTTTTTGGTCAGTTAAAATTTTCTCCATGGACAATCATGTCGTCAGCAAATAGAAAGTGTTTTATTTCTTTCTGTGCGATCCGTATATGTTTTATTTCATTTTCTTCTCTTATCGCACTAGCTAGGACTTCTAGGATGGTGCTGAATTGGAGTGGTGAGAGCAGACATCTTTGCCTCGTTCCTGATCTCCAGTGGAAAGCAACTCGTTTCTCACCATTAAGTATGATGTGAGCTGTAGGTTTCTGCACATGTTCTTTATCAAACATGGAAGTTCCTCTTGATCCTTCATTTGCTGTGGGTTTTTATCATGAACGGGTGTTGGATTTTGCCAAACGTGTGGCTTCCATGTCTCTCTTGGGCCCTTTGCATGTGTGAAATGCAGTCACATTTTTTCATGTCCCTGCTCATTCCAGCAGCTGTGTGGGTTCTGACTGCTTGGCTTGCCTCCCCATTATGGGCTGCCTTTTCCTGCTTCCTCGCACGCCTCACACTTTTTCTTCAATGCGCACATTGTGAATTTTGCCTTGTTGGTGCTGGATGTCTCTGCATTCCTACGAATACCGTGGGGTCTATTTTGGGATGCAGTTTGGTTACCTTGGGGCACTTTGTCCCTTTTGGGCGTTGCTTTTCCAATTTGTTAGGCAGGCCCAGAATTACACGCAGACCACGTGGGATGCCCGCTGCTCTGGGCCTTATTCCTTCCTCCACCGTCTGCCATGTAGCTCTGGTCTCAGGACTTTCTTTACAGTAGGTCGTTGCTCTTCTGGCGCTTCTGAGGACCATCTGCCAAGGGGTTAGGTCCCATGTCCCAGGAAATGGGCCTGGTATAAGCAAGCCCTCCCACCTCCAGTTTAACACTGCAGCTTTGACCTGCACCCTCCGACCCTCCCCCAGGCCTCGGCGGCCCCGCCAGGCAGCGCTGCAGCCCCTTGGGTGTACAACCCGCCCCCCCAATTATCAAGGCCAGCCCTTCCTGGTTGTGGGTCGGGGGCCAGGCGGGGAGGTGGGGCAGACTGCGAGGAGGGCGGGCATTGCCTCGTAAGGCACCTGCGTCATTTAGGTCCCTGCGGGGTCTCTGAGGACGTGTGGCCTCTATCTTACAATGGGGGCGTTTTCTGCAGGCCCAGGGGGCTCCGAGAGTTGGGAGTTCAAAGCCCTCAAGTGCAAGGGTCTTGGGGGGGTCTTCCTTCCTCCTTGGGGCACTTGCTCGGATTCTCGGGGGATCCCACAACCCTGCCCTGGGCCTGGCCGTGGCCCTGCTGCCTCTGCCTCTCTCGGGGCCACCGGGAGCCTGGGACTCTCACACTGGACTGTAAATTGAGGACTCAGAGGTCCTAGCCAACGCCCTGTTCCGCTGTCCCTTGGCTCAGATCCCCTGCGGTTCTCGTGTGAGGGCTGCAGACGACCTGGCGGGGGCTCCAGCCAACAGGGCGCAGGGCGGGCTCAGCCCCCAGCTCACGGCAGGCCCTCCTGGCTGGGGTGACTGTGTGGCGGAGGTCTGCTTCCCAGCACCTCTCTGGCCTGTTCCAGAAGCAGAGCCCCAGATCCTCACTCGGGGTTCGTGGGAGGGGTGCCCTCCAGAGAAGGGAGGGAAAGAGAAAGCAGGCGAGTGGGGAGGGGGGCTCCCTGGGGAGCCCTGGGGCGTAGATGGCTCCGCAGAGCCGTCACCCCCAGCCATGGGGCTGGCCCTCTCTACCCCTGCGGGTCCCTCCCTGGCCAGCTGCGCTGGGGGTGGGCACGGCCTCCCCTTGGCCTGAGAACAGTTCATGGAGGAGGCAGCTGTGAGCACTTCATGCCGACCTCGGTGGCCGGGGCGGTGCAGTGTCGGTGACAGGGTGGGCTGGGCCGCACCAGGGCTCTCGGGTCTCAGAGGCGAGGTCCCCAGGGGGTCCTGCAGGAGCGCTGCGCAGTTGGGAAGTTGCTCTGTGCCCCCCAGGCCCTCCGCAGAGCCCCTCCCGGGGTGCAGGCGTCTGCCTGTCCTCGGGTCCCCCTGTCCCACAGGCTGAGCTCCGGGCACGCTTGCCGCCCGGGACTTTGATGTACGGTGTCTGTCTGGACCTGCCAGCCTGGGTGGATGATGCTGGGGACGTGTGCCTGAGCGTCTGTGTGGTTGTCGCTGCCAGCAGGAGGCTGGGGCGGGAGGGTTGGGTCCCAGTGGGTGTGACACACTGTGGGTGTGGGTGCGTGTGCCCCTGCCGTGGCTGGGCATGTGTCTGTGCATGCTGTGTGTGCCTGGTGCCCCCTGGGAGGATGGGTGCAGGGAGCCTGGCCAGTGCCGATCCCCATCTCCCCATGGGTCACCCTGTTCCTTAGGACTGAGGAGGGATGAGGCAGGGAGGGGGAGAGCAGAGGGGAGGGAGGAAGGCAGGGGCAGCTCACCGCCTGCTCCTCCATCCCAGCAGACCCTATAGCGGTCCTGAGGGCCCAAGACTCCCTCCTCGCTTGGAGCTTTCCAGGGACTGTCCACCACTGGGGCCCAGGCAGGCCCTGGGCAGGGCGGCACAGGCTCAGACGGATGCCTGGTTTGAGCCCCAGCTGGCTCTCCCTTCACCTTCAGGAGGCTCTGTGCCTTCCCAGGCTGGTGTTCAGTGTCTCAGCTGTGGATGGGGAGCCCTGGTGGCTGCCACCCTAATGCGCTCCATGTGGGGCTCTTCCCTCAGCCATCCTCCAGGGACGCACCCAGAGAGCCACCGAGTCCAGCCACATGCAGCCAGCCGCGTGACACGTGTGGAGCACCTGCTGTCTGCACAGGATACAGCAGGGGATCAGAGACGAGAGCTCCTGGTCCAGGCGGGAGACGGACATCAGGAAAGCACACAAGCGGAAGGCTCCTCTCCAGGGCCCAGCTCTCGCGTGGACAGGCTGGGCTCAGCTCAGGCCTCTTCGCTCTGGCATCCATGCCCGCCCCAGGCAAGCACATCCTGGCTCGTGGCTTTAGAGTCCCTCTGCAGGCAGCAGTGCCTGCTGTCACGTCTCCTGCAACCCGGCTCACACCCACGGCTGTTCGGCATGTCCGCCTAAAGGTCAACAGGCCTCTCAAAGCCCACCAGTCGGGAGCTTGCCCCTGGTGCCCCCGCCAACATGGACAAGGGCCTCAGGGTCTGCCACCCGCCCATGTCACTCCATCTTCTATTTCTCCGTAGAGTTTAACTCCTTGAACATGCCATGTATTTACCAACTTGTCTGCTCTCTGCTTCTTCCCCACCAGGACGGAGGCCCCACTGTCACCAGGACCTGATCTGTTTGGTCCCTGCCGTCCCCCATTGCCCTGCGGTGTGGGTGAAGGGGCTCAACGTGGAACTAGGGGACCATGGGAGGCAGCTGGGACAGCTTCCAAGGGAGTGATGCTCAAGTGGGGTTCACTTGGGCAGAGGAGCAGCGCATGCAAAGGCCCTGTGGCTGATCAGTCATGGCCCCTCAGAGAACGGAGAGGAGCTGAGGTGGGCATGTGCCACCAAATCAGCCTGGGGAGGCACAAAGGCCCCTGTGGACTCTGTCTTTATCGAAGGCTGACGGGAAGTCCCGGGGGGCCTCTACATGCAGGGAGGTGCATGTTGTCATGTGGCGCACGTTTGCAAAAGTCTTTCTGACCTCCTGGGGGAGGATGAGGGGGCGTGAGGGAGGTTGTGGGGAGACCACAGCAGACCCCTGTCACTCCCCTGATGACGGGCTTGGGCCACAGTTGGGCAAAATCCCACAGGAGCAGCTGGTGGACAGAATGCGGGGCAGGAAAGGCACAGCTGTGGTGGGGCAGTTGGTAAGCTGGTGGTGGCCAGCATGGAGATCTGGAATTGTGGCGGAGGACCAGGTCGCGCGCGGGCAGCTCTGCAACCCGGGCCCTGGGATGCTGAGCCTGCCTTGCCACCCGCCATGCAAGGGTGGCAGTCAGAGGGGAGTTGGCTTCTGGGACTGGAGTCTGAAGCACAGGAAGAAGCGGCCTGCACAGACACGGACAGAGGCTACAACAGGAAGGCAAAGAGATGTGGCCCCTGGGTGTCTACCAGCGCGGGGCAGGTGGAAGGGTCTGGGGAGGCATCTGGAGAGGGACAGCTGGAGGAGGAGGAGAGCGCAGAGGGCCAGCCAAGGAGGGCGGGGAGGCCACGGGGTGGGGACCAGAGCACATCTCTGGGCTAACACGGCCGGTCACTGGGCCCCTGGCGCGCGGTTCTGGTGGCATTGGGGCACAGCGAGGTGACAGGAAGGAATGGGGAGGGCGAGTTCACTCTTTCAAGACTTACAGCGAAGGGAGGGAATTGGGGAGTTGTTGGGGTCAAGAGGGGTCTTTCTGACGTGAGAGAGCCGAGTGTGCGTAAAGCCCATACAGAAATGAGCAGTCTGTTTGCAAAGACGTGGAGCGGCCCGACATGCGTGTGACTAAGTGAGAGAGGCCAACCTGACAAGGCCACGCGCTGTGTTTCCAGCCAAGTGACAGTCCCGAAAAGGCAGAGCTGTGCCTGTAGTCAAAGGGCCGGTGGTGGCCCGGGGCTGGGGGAGGGAAGGACACGGCAGGTGGTTCCTCTATGGAGCAGATGAATAAACCCGTTCTGGGGCCTGTTTGTGGTGTTTTGGGCAGTCCGGGGAGCCCTGACCCCGGGCTTCGAGGCTGAGATGACCTCAGACAAGCTCTGTTCCCATTGGCAGGGAGGTCAGCAGGAGGCAGGGCTCTGGGACAAGAGCAGATCACTCTCCTCCCTCCCCATTTCATGGAGGAAAACACTGAGGGTCAGAGTCAGGCGAGGGCAGCCTGCTCCGTCTCGGGCGGCCCCCTACCCCCAGAACCCAGCCAAGGCCTGCAGGTCAGTTGGTGGGTCGGGGGCCTAGGAGGGAGAGTAGGGCAGGGGCTGGCTCCTGGGTATATGCTGGCTCTGCCCTCAGGGGGCGGTGCCCAAGGATTCACCACCCTGTCATCCTTTCCTGCCTTCTCTCCCCACTCGGGGCTGTAAGGGTTCAGTTACCCAGCGTTCGCGTGTCCCCAGCCTAGAACTGTGCACTCTGTGCCAGCAGGAATCGGATCGGCCTGCTTTCTCCAGGGTCCCGAACCGGCTGGTGCATAGTAGGTCTTCATGAAATGGTGGGAAAGGATGAGGGAGCCAGAACAAACGAGCCCTGGGGGGAGTGTGAGTGTGGCCACAGCTGTCCAGGGAGGCAATGCGGAGGGCTTTCTGTCCCCATCCAATGGCTAATTCATTCTCCCGACAGTCCAGGGAGGCCATGCCCCTGCCCAAGGTCACAGCCAAGAGCGGGCAGAGCTGGGGTCCGAGCCAGGCTGCCCCCTCGGGGTCCGTGTCTACCCTGCAACCGAGCCGCTCTGGGTTTCCCACACTCCAGGACCCACCGTCTGTGCGTCTATCTCAGCGGGTTGTTTTTCTTTAAATTGAGGTGAATTTCACAGGACATAAAATTAGCCATTTTAAAGTGTGCAATTCAGCCGCACTTGGTACATTCACAATATGGTGCAACCACCACCTCTATCTAGTTCCAAGGCATTTCCATCACCCAAGGGAAACTCTGTACTCATCAGCGCCCACTGCCCCCCTCCTCCTCCTGCCCCCCAAAACCACCAGTGTCTGCCTGCTACCTACGGATCCCAATGGATCATACCGTCTGTGGTTTTCCGTGTCCGGCTTCCTTTACTGGGCCTCACGTGTTCCAGGTCCATCCGTGTCGCAGCCCGTGTCCGTGCTGCAGTGTATCTTATGGCTGAGTCATGTTCCACTGTGTGGCTGGACCATCTTTTGTGTATCCGTTCACCCATCAGGGGACACTTGAGTCGTTTCCGCCTCTTGGCTGTTGTGAATAATGCTGCTGTGAACATGGGTGTGCAAGTGTATCTTTGAGACCCTGCTTTTGCTTATCCGGTGTCTATGCCTGGGGAGCAGAATTGTTGGGTCATATGGTGACCCTATGTTTAACTTTCAAGAAATTGCCCCCTTTTACAATCCCACCCTTAGAGAGTGACAGTGGCTTATGTGTCCCCTAGGCCCGGGGGCGCACAGTGAGTGGCCAGGCCCGCTTGCCTCACTGTGGGGGTGTGTGGGGTAGCTCTCTTGCTGGTGGCTCTATCAGTGGCCCCTGGGCTGGTTCCAGAACAGGCGAGAAGCCACGTGCTCTTTGCCTGTGGGGGGTCCAGTGCAGGATGGCGGCGCCTGGTGGGATGGGGGTGCTGGGGTGGCCAGGCCATGCCCGGCGGCTCCCCGCCCCGGCCTCAGGCAGGGCCGTCCTCCTCCCCTCGGTTTACCCATTAACAGGCCCGCCGGCGGTGGGGCAGGAGACAATGGCGTGCTTGTTCCCCACGGCCGGGGAGGCCTGCACGGGCCCTGGCGCTGTCATCAAAGCAGCGTGATTAAGTCTATTAGGGAAGGGATTTGTGCAAACAGAGAGACAGGTGCAGGGCGGGGCAGCTGCCGGGGCTGGGGGCTCCGCAAGGCGGCCATAACTTCCCGGGGGCCGGCTGGTTTTCCCTGCCATTGGCCGTTGCTGGGGTCCTACGAACCCCACCCATGCTGGCCCCTGAGGCTGGTCTGGAACCCCCGGCCGGGGCCATTTCCGCTGTGTTCCGGGAGAGCTGGGAGCATTTTGTCTCTTCATGCAGCCCCTCTGGGCAGGTCCTTTGGAAAGTGAGGACTAATTTGGTGAAGCAAATCATTTCTCTACGAGGCCTCAGCATGCTGGGGGCCTGTCCCTGAGTGGGCTCCTCTCTCAGGGCTGCCTGGGCTCTAATCTTGGCCTCCGGACCCCAGGCTGCATGTGGCCTTGCCCGGCCCCGGGCCACTGCGCAGCTCTGGACCCGCGCCGTGATGCTCTGCACTCGACGGCGGTCTCGGTCACAGTTCAGGTGTGGCGAGGGTCCTGTGACCTTTGGAGGGGGACACCGTTGGCAAGCTCTGCCGAAAACCAGTGCTGGGGCAGTGGGCCTGTGGGTGGGGCTGCCCTGGGGTCTGAGGGGCACCCCCTACCCCCGGCTGGACACCACCTCCCTGGCTGCTTCCCAGAGTGGCTGCGCTGACCCCAGAGCAGACAGCCTTGTTCCGATCCGCATGGAACAGCAAGGAGCCACGGACAGACTGGGCATGTGCCAGCTCCTTTGTGTTCCTCTGGCAACAGGTGTGGACCCATCGTCCTCCAGGGGCCACTGCAGGGACCTGCAGGGACAAGTCTGGACAGACGGAGCATAGCCCTCGCTGCCCAGCCAAGCCCTCATGGGCAGGGCTGGTAAGAGCAGCTGGGGGCCAAGCGGTGAGCTGAAAGTGGGCCTGAGGTCGGGGTCCCTGCCCCCAGGACAAGCACCGTGTGGACGGCAGCTGTGTCGTGATCTCCACTGGCCTGCAGCCTCTCATACCTGCTGCCGTCACTCTTAATCTGGCCATCCTGGGCCCTCGTGTCCCTCGGCCTGTGACCTCCCAAGCCACACCCCACTCCCCAGCTCAGAGCACCCTCATCTGGGCCCAGGCTGCCAGCAGGCTCCCGCATCCCTTCCTTGAGGTCATATCTCAGCATTTGCATAAGGGACCCACTGTCTGGCCTGATGACCCCCACATTGTCCCCCACCCTGGGAGGCAGGTGTAGACCTCCCATCACAGGAGAGTCCTTGCTGGGTGGGCTGGGGAGCTCTCTGGGATGGCGCCTCACCTGGAACACCATCCCATCTCCCCTCCCACCTGGGCTTTCCTGGACCCCCTGCTCCGGAAGCCTTCTCTGACCTCCCGGGCCCAATGGGGACTCGGTCCCGAACTCTTCCAGAGTGGATGCTCGGGCAAACTGCGTGCGCTGACTCCCCCAGCAGCCTGGCTCAGCGCTGCGGGGCTGGAAGGCGAGGGCGCACACAGTAGCAACGGGGCCAAAGCCAGCCCGCCCAGGGTTGACAGGTCACCTCCTCTCCGAGCCGGCCGCCTTGTGGGAAAAAGGGCTGAATCAAGACTTCTCTGCTGCCAGGGGTTTCCTGTGAGACCATAGCTGCAGAGGCCCTGCCAGCTGGGACCCCTGGGTACAGACTATCTCTGTTCTTTGATGACACAGACCTTCCTGACATGACCCTTCTGCCCCCACCACACACAGTGGGCTTCTGACCGCACACATCAGTTCCTTGCCTCGAGGGCCTCTCTTAGCAGCCCCCAACCTCCCTCGGGGAGAGTGAGGGAATGAGGGATCCAGGGGCCTGAGGCAAGGCTGCAGCCCTTTTGTGACCTAATCTTGGAAGTGATGTCATTGCTTCTGCCACATCCTATTGGTTAAAAGCGAGTAAGTCCCACCCACGTTCGTGGGTGTGAATCACACCAGGAAAGGGACACAGGAGGTGGGTCAGTGGGATCCTTAGAGGCTGTGACCACAGCAAGTAGGATCAGTCTGGCATTGTCCATGGGGTCACCAAGGGGCTGAGCAGAGGACCTTGGGGGGCGTGGGCCCCTGTCTGAGCAGAGGGCTGAGTGTGGAGGAGAATGCAGACCTGTTGCGATGGTGCAGGAGCCAGAGCATGGCCGCCTTCCCCTCAGCAGGTGCTGGGCTGGGGTCCGTGCCCTCGCTGGAGGGAAGTTGGTTTGAGGGCCCAGGCGCGGGTGCCCCCTCAGGCCTGCCTGAGGCGCTCACTCCTCTGCTCCTGGGAAACCTCCCTCCAGGAGCAGGAAGCCCCTGATCGCAAACTCTGGACCCTCCCCACCTGTGGTCTTGGAGACAGGACAGAGCAGGGGAGCTCATCAGGCTGGACAGAGCAGGTCAGTTGGAGAGAAGCGACCCTGTCCTTGCATCTCCATAGGGCTGTCTTCTCCATGCTGGGGACACTGGGAGAATGTCACAGACTTGGACTCCGTCTGTAGAACTTTGCTAGTTAGGGTGGCCTCTGCTGGTAGTGAGTGCCTGGTCCCTGGGAGTATGCAAGCACAGATGCTGGAGCCCACCTGCCGGGGAGGACAGGACTTGATTACCACCACCTCCCTCTGGTGGGAGGAGCGGTGGACGGGGAGGCGAGAGAGGAAGGCAGCGGGCAGGAGGGAGGCAGGTCCGGGCCTGTAGGCCAGCAGGGGAGGAGGGGAGGCAGGCCGGGGATCACAGAGAAAGCCGAGCGGGGCCCCTACCTTGCCGAGCTCGCCCTCAGCCACCGGGACCACGCTCATTCTAGGTCCCTGTCAGGCCTCAGGGCGTCCAGCCCAGCCACGCGGGGAGGGACTGCCATGCCTGGGGGCCGAGGTGGCTCCCGCTGTCCCTTCAGCTCCCCCGCCCCTCCTCTCCTCTTCATCTCCCTAGCGGGGCCCTGGGCCTTGGGGAGGCTCCCCGATGGGCTGGGCTGCCCTGCCCCTCCCTCTGACAGCCTGAGTCACATCGGCCCCATCTGCGTCCCCAGCCCGCCTCCTCGAGCCTGCAGCCAGCTCCCTGAGCCCCGGGCCTGCCCATCGGCCTCTCTCCACCTGGGGTCAACTGGGTCTGACCTGCTCCCTCTGGGGGCAGACGTGCCCTGCCCCTGCTGTCCTCTCTGTTCCCTGCCGGCTGCTTCTGCCTCCACTGCCCCAGGCCCTCTGGGCGCGCCCCCTCCCATGTCCTGGCCCCCACCTGGGCCACCTGCCCGGCCGTCCGTCCCTCCTGCTGCCTCGCTGACCCTCTACTGCCCGTGGGGCGGGCTGCTGACCTCCATCCTGGGAAGAGAGAGGGCCAGGCCGTGCCAGGCCGGGAGTAGGCGCAGCCTGACACTGCTGCAGACGGACAGGCTGAGGCACGCCACGGCCTGGCCTCAACGCTGCCGAGCGGGGTGCCCCAGGGCGGGTTATTTCTGGAATGTGGGGCTGGCCAGGTTCAGCATGAGGCGTGGGCAGTGCCAGCTCCTCTCAGGATGGCTCGCAGCAGCGGGGAGTGACCCGCCTTCTGCTTGGCAGCCAGTTGGCCGTCCAGCTCACGCCGGGCCTCCTGCAGGGACCACAGAGGCCACCTGCCCTGGAGCTGGGTGACAGCGTCCCTGCAGCCCAGGACCCGCACAGGCCTCCCGACTCTCCAAACCCTCCCACCCCGGCTTCCCAGGCCTTGGGCTCACGGAGCCTGCCGTCTCGGGGTGCTCCAGGGCCCGTCCTGGGAGCGTCACACAAGCATCCCCAGGCCTGGCCACAGCCCCTCAGTTGGGAGTGGGGAAGAGATCTGTGGGGTTTTTTTTGTTGTTGTTAAGGAAGATTGGCCCTCACGTCTGCGTCCATCTTCCTCTATTTTGTATGTGGGATGCCGCCACAGCACGGGATGATGAGCGGTGTGTAGGTTGGTGCCCAGGATCCCAACTGTGAACCCAGGGCCACACAAGTGAGTGTTGGAACTTTAACTGTTACACCACCAGGCCAGCCCCCAGGGATCTGCGTTTTAACAGACTCTGTGAGCAGGTCTGAGAGCCGCTGATCAGGAGTCCTGGAGCCTGGGTGTGGCTCGTGCATGCCTATCATACCCACAGGCCGTGGCACGTGGCATGTGGCCATCCTCATCACTCTCTCCCCTGCTGTCTGGCTATGACCCTTCTGACGACTCTCCTACTCCTCTCCCCCCACCAACTCACCCCCACCAGCCACACTTCCTGCTGTTCCTTAAACACAGCACACATGCTGCTGCCTCAGGGCCTTAGCACATGCTGCTTCCTCTGCGGGGGAGATGCCACGCATGGATATTCATCCCCACAGCTTCTCAGACAGAACTCCTGAGAGCATCTTTTCTGAGCTGCAATGCCTCAGTCCACTTTGAGCTCTCTTCTCCCACTGCCCAGACAGGCTTTTCTCTGACGTCAGCATTTGACATCTCTGCATGGTACTTCTGTGTCATTCATTGTCTGATTCTCTCCACCGGCAGGCAACTGCTCGAGGGCTGGTCCCTGGCTCCCTGCGGTGTCCCCACATGCAGAACAGGGCCTGGCACTTAGCAAGTGCTCGACACACTAGACTGATGCCCGGTTCTCCTGGGAGGCTTGCTTGCCCTCCTGCCATGCTGGGAGGAAGCCCAGGCCACGAGAGCCTCATACAGATGTGCTAGCCGACAGCCCCGCTGAAGTCCCACCAAAGCCTGCGCCAACCGCCAGACCTGCGAGTGAGGAAGGCTCTGAGGGGAGTGCCCCTCCGCCGCCATCGGATACACTTGGACCCCACGTGAGAACCGCCTGCCGAGCCCGTCCACATGCAACTGTGAAAGGCAACAGCTCCACCACCGTTCTTGTTTGAGGTCACCAGGGTCGGGCAGCAGTGACAGTCTGATGGGACATTCTGATGCGGGGCCACCTGCCTGCCCATGTGACACAGGAAGACCTGAATCCCACCCCAGCTCTGCCACCCACCAGCGCTGTGACCCGGGGGGAATCACGACCCCACCCAGCCTCAGTTTTCTCGTCTGGAAAATGGGGATGACGGTGAGCCCACCGTATTGCAATCGTGAGAAGGAGATGAAGCAGCGAGTGACGTGTACAGACAAGCGGAGGATTCAGCACCCCGTGGCGTCGAACCCCGGGTCAAGTCGCACCATGAGTCTGTCATCCTTTTTGAGAGAAAAGAAGCAGAAATTAAGCTGTGAAATGGCACGTTCCTATTGCTCAGAGTTTCGTTTCAAGCTTGTTGAAATTCTCTGCTAGATGCACTGAGTCACTTCGGGCACACATGTGGAAAAGAAAATACAAGCAATATAAATTGGTGGCTGTCCCCACCTCAAAGCCCACCTCCACCGCTTTCCTCTGGCCTGAGCTGTCAATGCCCAGGGCTCGTCTACCCACGGGCCTTCCCTGGGCCATGGTGCCTGATGCCACCCTCCCGGAGAGGCCTCGCTGTCCACCTGGCTTCTTGCCTGGTCTGCCGGTTTCTGGATCTTGACAGCAGATGCTGGCAAATGGTTTCCTTGGAGGGGTCACCCACTAGGAGGGACAGCCACACAGGTAAGTGGCGAGCTGTGGCCCCTGTGCCATGACTGTCACCTGGCCAACGGTGGTGTTAAGATGAAGCCTGATTTCAGAGACAGTTAGTGTGGAAAGGAGTGTCGGAATCAGTGAACGTGCCAGCCGTGGGTCCCTTCTCTTGGTGACCCCCTGGTCTCTCCTGCACACGATGCCCGGCCTGTCCTTTGGCCTCAGATGTCCCTGGAGGGAGGAGCTGACCCCTGCCACCCAAGGAAGATTCTGGAGCCTCCCAGCAAAGCCCAGCCAGTTTCTGCCTCAGTGTCCTCTGCTGTGAGAGGGGCTGACCCCCACAGTCGCTGAGACCCTGTTGCTTGTGCTTGCCGCGATGTTGGCCCCTGGAGTCTGTCCTGCCCGAGTGTCCTTTTCTGGGGCCATGAGCAGCCCAGCCCTGACTCCCCAGGGCAGGGAGAGGGCCCCAGAGTGTGTCTGTCTGTGGAGACCAAGTGCCAGCTATGGGGAGAGGCCAGAGGCGGCGGGGCTGCACAGCTGGCAGAGTCTGGGCTTCTTGGTGAGTCACCGGCCACCCAGGACAGCCAGGTCAGGGGCAGCCCCACCCCAGACGCCAATTAGCGACTTCTCCCCCCTGGCCTGGAACACCGGGCTGCCAGGGCCATCCTGCCCCCGGCTATGGCGTGCCGTGGAGGTGGGGAGGCCTTAGCGCATGCACTCACCCAGGGAAGCGCCCCATCGGGATCCTTGCCCCTGGGGCACCACCTGCCTTTGCCCTGGAATTCTCTAGAATCCCTGGAGCTGCAGGGCCCCGCCCCCACCCGGAATTCCATCAGATATCCTAGGAGTGGAGAAGGGAAGCTTGCACACCCCCTGCACCCCACGTAGGGCAGCGAAGGACAAGGCAGGCGCAGCTCCTCTCCCGTGACCCTGGAAATGTGCCACATTCTGGTCCTCAGTCCCGGTGGGTCCAAGGAGAGGATCGTGAGCCGAGGGCCGCTGAGAGGAGAGAACAGGACGATGGTACTGGACCCCGTCCTGACCCCGCCGATGCCAGGGCAGTGGCAGGGGAGGCCCGGGGCCGTGGGGAGGGGGCTCTTGGGTGCAGGCCAGCTGGGACAGAGGGAGGCCAGCAGCACCACAGCTGAGGCTGGGTGAGGCTGACAGTCCAGGGCTTCTCGGCCTGTCCTCTGTCCTCCACCCCCAGGATGCTGCCTCCCTCGGGGCGGCGGTGAAGACAGAGAGACGCTCTCGGCCGCCCCCAGGAGGTGAGGTGGGGGCTCCAGTGGGCTGAAAGGGGACAGGGAGCCTCTGTCTGCAGAGCTGGCCCAGCTGACTGATGGCCCTGGAGAGAGGCTGGGAAGAGGGAGGTGGCCTGCCCAATCCCAGCACCATCAACCCCAAGGCTCTGTGCTCCCTGAGCTTCTAGAAGCTCCTCGAACTTGGTGGAAACTGGGTGGTCATGAGGTGATGTGGGGTTGCATCCCAGCCCCCAGGAGGCCACGCACCATCCCCTCCACTGTGGCTTTATGTGCCACCAGTTGGGAGAAGGCCCCGGCCAGACGGGGTGCACACCCACCCTGATGGCGCTTCCAAGAGGCTCTGGAGGCAGAACCTTGGGGTGGGGCGGGGTGGCCTCAGGTCGCCGTGAGGGGCCTCCTGCTGGACCCAGGGTGGGGCTGGGCCACCCCGGCCCCTCCCTCTGGAGATGGAGTCCTGGGCAGCTCCGTGCTTGTCCCAACAGCCTGCCACTCCTCCGGCGGGCCCTTTGATGTCCCCAGTCTGGCAGAGGTGGGGCCCAAAGGCTTCCTCCGGCCCCTTTGAAGCTAGGCACTGCCCTCTGGCCCCCACATAGCAGAACCTGGTGGCATCGAGTCCCCCCAGGTCCCCAGGGAGGCATCGGCCCCCAGCTCCGGGTCAGAGGCCTGCTCACCTCAGGGGTGTCTGGGGACTTCAGTGGAGGCCAAGCTTTTGCCAAGCTTTTCCTCAGCCCTCCTGGTGGAGGAGGCCCTGAAGGTGCTGCCCGCCCCCTGGGGCCCGTGGGGACCCCAGGCAGGAGGAGCCAGCTGGGCAGGGATCCAGGCCCCGCCACAGCCCACAGCCCGTGCGGGAGGGGGCCGGGAGGAGCCTTATCAGAGCGGCCGCCCGCCACCCCACCTGCTGCTGACGGAGAGATGGGGAGCCCGGCCATAAACCCGTTTGTTCCCCCGAAAGAGAGAGGGAATAAAAACTGAAGCTCATAAAACCGAGCCAGAATCAAAGCCGACTTATCTCTTCATTTTGCTATAAAATCACAGAATCAGAAAAGCGGGCCGTCTCTTTACAGTTAGAGTGACAGAGATTTCCGGGTGAGCTCGGCCAGGTGGGGGCCACCACTGCCCGGTGCGGGCGCCCGGCCATGGGGGGCAGGCTCACGTGGAACCTGGAGAAGACCTGCCCCGAGGCCGCTCCTTGGATGGATGGGTGTCTGGAGTCCCTCCTGGGCCTCCTGTGGCCACCAGGAGAGAGTGAGCAGGTCCCCACGGGCCTTCCGAGACACCAGGAGGCTGACCCCCACCCTGGTGGCTACCTCGAGCTGATAGCAGTGAGTGGGGCCGCAGCATGAGGGCCCTGCTCACTCTGGGCTGGTGTTGGTGGGGTCTCCTGCCCTGGGGGCTGTGTCCTCTGGCGTCTACAGAAGAGTCCCCCACCTCCTGGGACCCAACCCCTCCTAGAGGGGACCTGCTAGGAGGTCAGGGCCTCTGCAGGGGAGGTGCTGTGCTGGGGCCTCCAAGGATGCCAGCACACCCTGCCCTCAGGTGGGCACCCTGCAGCTCCATGTGGAGGCCACAGGAGTGGCCGGGTGCCCTCTCCCCGCCCCCCCAGTGGAGCCTCCTCGCAGGTCCCTGGGCCTTTCCTTGTCCCCTTGGGGAGCCCAGTCAGTCGTGACCAGCCGGGTCCTGGAAGCTCGGGCAGCTTGGCAGAGCTCTGCAGGCCTGGGGGCTCCCCAGGAGACATCTGGGTGCACAGTGGCACAGGTAAGGGAGCATGCACACACGTGTGCACTGGCCCACCGACAGGCATAGCACACTGCTGGGCGCTGCGAATGTGCGTTCGCATCCACATGCACACCATGGACCCCCCCGCCCCGCCACGTGGTCACATGCTTGAACACGTGCAGGGCCCTATGCACACACGCACATGGGCCTGCTGTCTGCACATTTCCTGCACGCTTCAGCTCTCTCCTAACCAACGCCTGAGCCCTCGGCATCCCCAAGAAGCCAGTGGCCCTTC